CCAGGGCTGCATCAGGGTAGATCCATGAGGTTTCTCCTCAGGAATACCTCACAGGGAGTCATTCTTGTCAATAAAGGGTCTTCAGGGAGTGAGGAAATGCAGAGAGAGAGAGAGAGAGAGAGAGAGAGAGAGAGAGAGAAGTGGAGAGAGAGAGAGAGAGAAGTGTATCTCCCATCTACAAGGATGAAATACCAGAGTTCCCAGAATTCTCAGGAGGAAGCCATGCCCACACAGAGGCCTCATTGGCTATGACTCGATTGACATACTAGACTTCACTCTTAATCCTCTCACATCCCAAATTGACACCAGATTATGTAACTACCACAGACAACCCCTTGTCAATTTGACACCTTCACATAACTCTAGCCATATATAATTTTAAAACAAACAATAATAAAATCATATCTGTACCTAATAGGATAAAACTAAAATGCATATAATTCAATATGTGCCACCCTCATTTAAACATAACATGTCATAAGTGAACAAAACAAAAATAACCTATGCATAACAATTGCAGTTAAGTAACACCTACACCTTAATCCTATAATTCTAGGAACATGTTCCTCATCTATGAGTGATTGTAAGCCAACCACTTCATGCCTTTATCCTCCCCATTTTGGGTATCCAGTTTCTTTACTGCCCACTTAGATCAACCCAAGGCTCTGAGGAGACAATCATATTCTTTGATGTGAAGAATCTTCATTCCAGTTGGAACCTTGTTAAATTCATATCCATAAGCAAAGTCAAATCAGGACAGGCCATCCATAAAGTCTGCCACAATATGCACCAGTTCACAGCCTCAAATATCTTCTCTTTATCTGGCCAGGTTCTGGTCAACTCAATGTGGGCTGCCTCTCTTAGCCTCACCAGGGTGACCATTGGTCGCCTTGCCTTTAGACCATGGCCCCATCACAAATTCTCAACAAGCCTAGCTCTCTTGTGCTAGGTCATGAACTTTAGACCAGTCCACCTGCTCTTGTCTTCTCCTCTAGTTCCTGTGAATCAAATCCGCAGGTGTCTGTAGCCAGACACAACCCATCTCTTATGTCCCAGCATGTGGTCTATTTTCAAATATGTGCCATGTGAGCTTGAAAAGAGTGTGAATTTTTTTAAAATTGGGTGGAAAGCTCTGAATATGTCTATCAGGTCAAGTTGAGTAATTATGGATTGTAGTTCTGTAGCCTCTTTGTACTCCTTTCCCACCGATCTATCCTTCTAAAAGAGCGGTGTAGTGATGTTTCCTACTATGATTTTTGATCTCGTGATTTCTTTTTTCATCTTTTGGAGGACTTGATTAAGAATTTTTAGGGTCTCTCATTGGGCACATATGTGTCTGTTATGCTAACTGCTCTTGGTCCACTGATTCCTTAAGCTTATATAATGCCCATACTTATCTCTTGATATGCCTTGTACCTTGAAATCGATTTTATCCATGATCAGAACTGCGACTCCTGCTTTTTTTAGATTGACATTAGCTTGGCATACTTTCCAGCAAACTTTGATCCTGAAACCATTTTTGTTTGTGACCTTGAGATGTGTTTCTTGCAGACAACACATTGCTGGATTTTGTTTCCTAATCCATTCTGCCAGCCTTTGTCTTTTAATGGGCTAATTAAAACCATTGATGTTCAAGGTTATTATATCCATCTGTGGATTCTTTGCTATGATCTCATACCTTTTTGTGATAGACCTATTCCATCATCCCTCCTCAGCAGTGTGTTATGTATGGGAGATTCATTCTTTCCTTATTTTTACCATTGGATCAAAGACATCTTGGGCATTGCTTTCAGTGCTCTGCTTTTTGGATAGTGTTACACTGTGCGGTGGTCTCATGTTTGTGCTCTGTGGATGCTGGTCTTCTGACCACAGTGAGTTGCAAAGTCATTTTTGTAGTTGGGTTTTTTTGTGGGTTTTTTTTTATGTATTCTCTAAATTTTTCTGATCTGGGAAAACCCTTAACTCTCTATCTATTTTG